TCTCTTGCTAACAGCTAAACTCTAATGTTCTCTCTTTCTCTCCTCCTTCAACTTTTTTTTAACTTCTATTTTCTCCTCCCTCCTCATAAACAATGCATTCCGTGTCACCTCTGCATCTGCCCTATTCAACTCTTGAAACTACAAACCCTTTTCTGCCCTCCAATCTCTTCTTCCTCCTCTTTATAGACTCCATTTTTAACTTCTCACAACAAATCGGTTTAGAAAACACCGTGCCCCATAATGTTATAACAACGATTAATACACAAGTCATAGATCATACCTACTGTTTGATTTTATGCCAGACATAATTCATGATTACTTATTGCCTTTATTGATAGAACTTGCTGATCCCGCCGTTTCTGTTTATTATGGCCATTAACATTGTAGATGCCATGATAGCAATTAAGTACTGAATTTAGTACCATACAGAGCTCTTGGTGGCTGTCATTTGGCTCCCCCTAATGTCTGAGGCACGGATGACCAAAAGCTCATAGAACAGAGCCTTGCTGCTTCAGATCCATTTGGACAGTTGGGTAGACACAAACAAAATATGAAAAACTCAGGGAACAAGACAACCTAAACAACCCAGAATGACTCAGAAACAGACCCCATGGATACCACAGTGGAGGAAACGTCGGAGGAGAAATTTAGAAAGTTTTCAGGTATAAACTGATCCACAAGATCCATGATGATTTTACATCACCTTGAAGAAAGACCAGATAACATTAAAAGGCCAAATCTAAGATTCACGGGGGTAGATGAGGGCTCTGAAGTACAAACTAAAGGAGTACACAATCTTTTGAGTGAAATAGCAACAGAAAGTTTCCCAAATCTTATGAAAGAAAAGGAAAATCAAAGACAGGAGGCTGACAGGATGCCAAATATACAAAATTACAACAGACCCACTCCTAGGCACATCATCATGACATGGCCTAGCAAATAGAATAAGGATAGAATTTTCAATGCTGCTAGAGGAAAATGTCTCTCGTGTTTAGAGGTAAGCCAATCTGGATCTCAGCTGTTTTGCCAACCCAGACAACTAAAAGCCAGGAGGTCTTGGCATAATATACACAAAACTCTGAAAGACAATGCATGCCCACCGAGCATAGTATATCCAGCAAAATTAAGCTTCAGATTTGAAGATGAGGATAAAACTATCCACAATCAACAAAAGTTAAATGAATTCACAACTACAAAGCCAGCACTACAACACATACTCAATGTAATACTTCATGAAGAGCGAGTGGAGAATACAAATGAAAACCAGCAGAAGGCGAAGCTACACTAGAAAAATAGCACATCAAAGGGCAAT